TGGGAGAACCATACTGTAGTGCATGATTTGGAGACAAGTCAGTCTTATTTATAATAAATTATCAATCCTGCGCTCAATGTGCAAAATAATAGAGCCATTCATTTAAATATATATAGAGCCCAATACTTCTACCTTTAAATTTGTACCCGCTATCAACCTATCCCCACCTTTTAACAGTTTCTGGATACATCAATGCATTGAATCATAAAAGTATTGCATTAAAACTTTTCAACAAAAGAAAAAAATCAGAGCAAGCACGACGTAATAAACAACCACATGGAGATGCTATCATGTAATTACTACTTCATTTTTAAACCCATGCTATATCCTTTTCCCCTCTTTTAGGTTCATTCCCCCTTTATTACGTGATTATTAATAACCCCGCTCAGAAGGAAAGGGAGTATAGTGGTTTACATTATAATGGCCATAAAACGGACAAAAGATAAGTTATTTCCCCGATCTTCGAACTGTGTGGCATACAAAATACTAATAGTGCCCTACAATTGTGAAAGAAATGCTGGCAATATACTCCCCTTCCTTGATCATTATAGATATAAATGTATGATCTGCATTACAATGCACATATGCATTATGCAGATAAAATCCTTATGAAAGGATTTTCGGTGAAAGGAAAAAAGATTTCTTTTCATATTTTCCTAAAAGCCCTTTTATATTTTTAACCTCGTATCAGACAGGAAGAATGCTTAATTTGTTTTAGGAAAGACGTACACGGCTAAAAGGGATTTTTTTTCCTATAGGCTAGCAAATTTAAAGAGTGGGTTACAACCCCGTAACTCCCTCCCCTCAAAACTCGCCACTACAGATACGCTCATACGAATCTCGCATGGTTCCCTTTACAGCTTTACATAATTATGTACAAATGTTTGCAAGAAAGCAAAAAACAAACTTAACTGAGAACAAAATCTCCTAAGCAAAATAAATGTAAAAATAATAGCACTCTATGAATTTATTCAGTAATTAAGATCTCATCTGCAATATAGGCGCCTCTTTTTTCATACACCGCTTCCGGTCTGAAGGACGAAACACGGACTGTCTCTACTTTAAGTAACGTATAAACATATTTGGTCTGAAGTTGATGTACTTTGTTTCTTGTGCTGTTATGAGAATATGCTCTTCACTAACCATTCATAATATCATGAATAAATCATCCCCAAGAAGACCGGAAGTCCTTTTGTGATGAATCAGCAGTTTTGTCGACTCAAACAGGGAAAGAAAGTATCCGGAAAACATTTGTTAAGTAGACTACATATAGATAAGTACAGTCATGTAACTGTGTCTTCTCATCTTTATAACTGACAAGAATTTGAAAAAAAATTCTTTTGAATCTTCAGATTTGAAAGGATGAGTAGTTGTACAAGGAAATTCACTATATAATAGTTTATATAAGAATAACAACTGTTTATCAAAAATGGAATAAATCGATCAAAAATTGACCTCCATAAAACAATAAATCATCTATTTACGATCGACCAGTGTTTGTGTCTTGTAATTCCTGGAGAAGCAAATTACCCCCTTCTTCCAATAAGTAAGGAGCCTGGACCATAGATTGACTTTTTCATATATGATTGGAAATTTCCCTCATAGAGTAGACCAGAAATAATGGATTGAAAAGTAATAAAGAACCAACTATAGCCTGAAACAGGGGGCACAGACTGTCAAAATGGAGCAAATATAATTGTCTTCACCGAATTGCTGAAGCCACTTTTTACGAGGTCGTTCTGTAAGCATGAATGGTTATAATACTTTACACACTTATGTACACCTTAAGATTTATGTGTTTGCTGAATATGAAAGAAATTGTATATACTTGTATCGATTCATGTTTTTGATTCCAGACATCACTCTCATATCTTTGGTACTTAAAGAATTACTTAGTATTTGTCTTTTTTATGTAGATGTCGGCCAAAAACAGTTCAGCGAGGTCAATCTTCCTTTAAAAATATTGTTTTTGTAAGAGTTGAAAGCATGGCGGCGGGGATGTCCAGTGTATCGTAAAATTTGTTGATACTCAATGTATGCCGTTATATATATATATATATATATATATATGGTTGTGCCATTTAGGAGACCGCTCATATTTATATATTGGCATTAAGTAGCCTCGTAGAATAAGTGGACCAAAACCGGTCGCCTTAACATTTTGACCCTCTCTGAACAGAAAATTAATGACTTTTTAATATTAAATTGACAATAGTTAATTTTAGTTTAGTATATTTTTGTCCCTTAAATACAAAAAATATGCCAAAATTTTACGAATATAGAAATTTTTAAATTTAAATTTCAAGCAACGTATATATTAGTATTATTATATATCGTCATTATGTAGACCAGCTAAAACTTGCAAAATTAAATAAGATCTGCTATATATGTCTTATTTCTCCTAGTATTTAGTTTTAGATATTGTTCTCCCACTAATTTTGGGTATGTACAATTTGCTAAATAGAATAAAACTTTTTACGAGAAAATGAGCTTTAGAGTTTCGTGTTCATCAACTTCAAGGTTTTCGTGCGCAATGCCTTCCGAAAATTTTCGGAAATCCTCGGTATCCTTTACGACCTTCGGAGAAATAGGAGTCAGACAAAATTTTGGTAAGTAATAACAAATTATGATTTTTTAAAAATACTTATTCATGATACATTGACTATATATTTTGCACCCAATATCTTGCGGTTAACGTCTGGTATTTATTCATTGATAAAGACTTACGTATACTTATTAGCATGGAGGAAATTCGAATTGTAGTTTACCAACAGCGTGGTTTCAACAGATCGTTTGTTTGTTTTGAACATATTTTATTGACATAAGCAAATGGATCGGAAACAAGTTCTTACAACTTACTTGTTCCTAACAATTGATTACATGTACTTGAACAAAATAATTGTATTCTCTGCTTATTCATAAATATAAATGTATACTGAATAGCATAATATTAGGCTGGTGGTATCGTTCTTGCGGAGATAAATTAAATATTCGATAATTTACCTGAAATACTAACTCTAATTTCCTATTATATGTGGGGTAGGGTTGGGTTGGAAATGGGAGTAAGGTGTTTCTAGGTTCAAACTTTTTTCACAGCCTAATCCAACCAGCCTTTCCTGAACAATTTTAATAGTAAAAGATTAATTGGGGGAGGGGAGGAGCCCCCCCCCCCCTCCAACCACGATACCACATCTCTGATGTCTATGGCAGCGGATACATACATGCATATATGTACATACAAATTTATGTATCTGACAGCATCCCCCTTAGATTTCTTGTACATAAAACATAAAGTTGATTTGGACAAGCCCAATATAGCAACAATTTTGAAATATCTTCAAAAATAAAGAGGAATTAAGGGCTACAAACTGTTAAAAAATTCAAAGGGACCAGATTAATAATTTCAATCGGGTTAGAAGTGGGGTTTGGGTGCAGGATGTGTGGAAATATTTTGTGGTGTATATTCCATATAGGCAAAAAGGCTGTAGGCTACACATCATTTTTTTAAGGATAGAAATTTGGTTGAAAAGGGGGGAGAAAAGTTGATAATAAATGTTATCTATTAATTTCATTTTGTTGCAAATGCCAAAAAAGAAGCATTTTTGACAATGCGCATTTTTGCACCCATACTTACAGTCTAACTTTTGTTTAATGACAAAAATATTCCTATAACTGGAAATAAAAATTAAGCCAAAATTCAAGTATTATATTAGGTCTGCATCAGCCTCCTTGCTTACCCATTATTTGCGCCTCAAGATAAATCTGTGACATCACACTAGCCGACACATTACATGTAGTAGAAAGTAAATAATATTATTATACGTACGCCAATGATATTCTAAACAATCTATTACACTGTACCTTTTGGCATGAATGGAGGATTAATTAACAGGTTATATCAGAGATGAGCATATCAGTTAATAGCTATATGTATTACACTTTCCATGATTGAGTAACAAAAGATATACTGTATAATTCTTGGAATATTTTTTCTATAATAGTAGACTCAGTTAACATCACCACCGTTAAAGTTTCGATCTACAGCACTGCTGATTTAATTTCTCAGATTTTATTAGAGATCTACAAGTACCTTTACAGGTCACTTAATTAGTACATGTATCTCAAATTTAATTGGGCAAATGAGAATTTTGTCTTTAACAACTTAAATGACTCAAAAATGTATTGCATGTTCAACATGTTCAGAGTAAATTATTTCCTTTATCATGAATTTATTCTAATTTTATGGGAGAATATATTTATAATTATGAAAGTACTAGTAAATCAGTCTACACATAAGTAAAAATTACCTCAACTATTTGAATTACTTTTCAGAATTTATTGCATTGTCTTTATTACTTAACAATCATGTAAAACTTTATTTCATGGCCGTAGGAACGGGGGGGGGGGGTGCCCTCAATAATTTTGCCGAAATATAGAATACTAAAGAAAACATAGCTACTATATGCTTGTGCCCCCTCAAAAAAAAAAAAACGCCTGATGACCTTTTTCTTTTCTTTTTAAGCTTGTCAAGGAATTTTTGGTTGTTAGTGCCCCCCAAAGAAAATGCATGGCTGTCCCCCCTCCCCCAAACTGAAATTGCTTCTTACGGGCCTGTATTTATTGATTTTTTTTAAATGTTTCATTTATTTATAAACCCATTAAGTGTTTCATTTTGAAAAGAAATATTAGAAGATAATCATAATTTAAAGAAGTTGAAATTAAATAATAAAAGAGACCCTAAGAAAAATTGCTTGTTGTCATTGTCAAGCTTGAACAAGTCCTGATTCATATGAAACAGATCCTGATCAATTTAAGCATTTTTTTTTTTTTAACATATAATGAAAAGAAATACTGTTTATCTTATGCAGTTGCCATGGAGAAATTAACTTGCTTATACTCTCAATTTAGTTATAAAACCATATAACAAGCAATAATTTTTTTTATTTTAATAAAATTGTTATGCAGAGTCTACATATATTACCTGTATATCTACATATGTAGATTAGAAACTTTCGGTCGGGTTCAGTTTAATTTTGATCGGGTTAGTTAATACATTGTTGAGTCTTTTGATCAGCATGGACATGGTTTGATGGTATGATAATATTTTTACAGTTTCAATTTCTAAACTTTCCAGGAAAGTTTAATTCCTGCATTTTGTACAATGGCTATATATATGCCGTATATTTTCCCATGAATTTTTTTTTGAAATTATATTTTTAAAATTCTGACAAGATTTCTGAGGAAATTTTTAACTGCCTAGGGTAAGATTTATGACAGTCTGAGACATTTTAAACCAAGTCTCTGAATAAATTAGATTTTGTTGACTTGTTTGCATTTATGCATTTATTTTTATTATAGTGTGTTCGGTACCACATAACATGCGAGAATACCTTCTCCGGTATGTTGGAGAGAAGATTAGCAAGAAAAAATCGCGTGAGAAAATGAGAAGTTGACAGAAAAAGATTTTTTTCATTATCGAAAGGGACATGTACAACATCCATAATGGTAAGAAAAGATAATTATTTATAGTCATATTTATTTGTTTCTATAATGTTTCTTTCGATAACTTTTCACTCATATTGAAAAGCCAGCACTTGAGAACCTCTGTACTCAGGACCCTTGAGCAATGAGTAATTTTGTTCATGCCAGCACCTACTACAACATGGGACCTCAGTTTCATTTGAACACCGGTCTCCACATCCTGCAGTGGGATTCGAACCTGTGATGTTAGGATCAACTCCTTTATCTGTGACTCTAAAGCAAACACTTAAACCACTGCGCCATGCAATCAGCTAGTCATACATGTATTCCTTATGATGTGAGCTAGCATTATGAAAATTACATGTGCTGTAGATCATAGGTTGCTATATAGTTCTTTGTATGTTGCCCTAAAAAAATATGGTGTTCATCAATGATTCATTTTGGTGTGCATCCTGCGTAAATTATGCACAAATTTTGCTCAGGACACATTATTTTAATAAATGTGCATCCCAATCAACGCAATAAATTTATAGAAGAACGTGTATTATTTGGTATAATCCGATTTTAAACTTGACCGATTGCATCATATCCATGTGCTAAGCGATATGCATGAACAATTTTAACAGGTATATATAAGGTTAAAACGTTGCCAACAACAGGTCAGATTTCACAATTGCAGCCAATTAACCAGCAATTATCAGAAAATATTTGAAAGTTAGATAACATAGTTCGATTATCACTGATTATATCTATACTGTGGAACATTTCTGAAGCGAATACTATACCTTTGTAAAAGCTATACATGTAACCTGTATCATCTTTTTGTTTTTTTGTTTTATGAGGACATACTATCTTAATATCACCCACCCATTATCATCTGATCAGCATGATCAGTACCATTAAGCAGGAAAACAAATATTTGAAGAGACATACTGTAAAAATAATTTTGTAAGATCTTGGAAAACATGTAATTTTGGAAGTAGATTGACATATAAGTATATAATTTTTTTTTGTGGATAACAGTTGATTAGGGTAGGTGGTCACTGGTGTGATTTTGACCCATTATCTGATTATTTTTCATACTTAACTTAAGTTTTGTTCGAGTATATGTCAATGTTTGTTATGCTACAACGTTTTCTGGGTAATTTTCTCTATGGAATACCTTTTTACAAGATTTCTTCTTTTTTTTGGAATTATTTATTTAATTTGCGAAATACATGTGTTCGACTTACAAGATATATGTGTTGGGTTATTTCTAGTTAGAACAATCTAACTTTGTCTCGGAACAAGCCCTCGATCACCACAGTTAGAATATGTCCCATATACTAGCAATGTAGCATATTGGAAAGGATCCGCTCAGAAATGATTTTGAAGAATACAAAAAAAATTGCACTGAAAATAACTATCAAATTAATCATAACAAACCTTTTTGAGATTTTATATGCCTTTTAACCTAAAAAATAATCCATAGAAATAAGAAAATTCAACTCATTTTCTCAACCTTTTTTCCTCGCTTCAAAGGACAAGGTATGGTAACGGCTGAATCTGGCCCCTTATTTGATGTAAAAATCAGAACATAGTTAAAATAGTGATAGTTTGTAGTTAAGAACTAAAAATGATGCTTGTTTTAAAACCAGCACTAATTTTGATTCAAAGCTTACACGGAGACCAGAAGAGGGTGCAGAAGTAGGACAATTTCCTGAATTTTCTCAATTCTATTGTAATATCCTCAAATTTGATATACTTTTCACTTCGGGAAACATAGAGCACAAGCTTGCCTATCTGAGATTTTTATACATAAGATGCATCTGATACTAGTATATGAAATATATAAATTTGGTAGATAGGCAAGCTTGTGCTCTATGTTTTCTGAAACAAAATGTGCTGTAAAATCGATGAAAATTTGCATAAAATGAGAAAATTCGGAAATTGACATATTTTCTGATCTTCCTGTGACCTGTATGTATCACATAACTTAGAACCAATACTCATTTTCTGGCAGGGGTGACAACAGGTTTCTATTGATAAACTGTTGTATCATTCTAAACAACACCCCAAACCAGGGGCCAAAAAGGGGTCTTAGCCTATCTTGTCCTTTACACGCCATGTTGAATTCGGAACTCTCTGGATTGTTCATAGAAAATGCAGTCAGTTCGAGTTATCGAACTTGCTTATTTTGATAAATTGCCAATACACGGAATGAATTCTATCTTTAAACCAGGTCCATAGGACAATATCATTTTAATGATTAGAACATTCTAATCTAGGTTATTGAGATCACAGCAACAATATATAAACAAAATTAAAATTGAAATTATAATTCGCATCATCTCTTTTAAAAAAGAAAATATAAATTCATATCATTTTGTAGAACCAAAAAATATTGGTTTAAATATACTGACAATAAAAAAAAGAGACAATAATTCTCAAATTATGAATAACTTTAAAACATTGAGTGCACCTACAAGCACAGATCCCATGATTTGTAATATAATGCACACACAGGCATGTAAATCAAACATACAGATTTTCACTGATTAGCTAATATACATGTAGAACTAGTTTCAACTAAATACTCGTACAAATACAAAAGAAAAAAATAATTATTTTCCAAGCAAATAAAATGAAGAAATTAAAAGTTTTTGATTTTATTTTGATTTAAAAATTATCAAAGAATATTTAAGTCGAACTTCATGAAAAAGAAAAACTGAAATCAAAATATTTGTATCAATTTAAATGTCATGCTTGATAAATTTTTGAAATACTGACAGATACACCCTTGCATAACACATATACATGCATGACTAAAATTGTAAATTTTTAGAGACTTTGGATATGCATGGTGTCAAACTTTGTCTCATTTTAATATAAAATGAAAAAATTATAACCGATTAAAGATATTGTGATCTGTATTGTAGCATAAATATTGTGATACCTAATATAGTGTATTAGATATAGAATAGTAGACGAAAGTGTATTATCCCAGCCCTTTATATTTGCAGTGCAGTATAAAACAGTTCAATTATATAATAATGAAGTCAAGAGAATATGGACATGATTATATGTAAATTAATAGATTTTGTTTTCATTTTTGCAGGTGTGTCTGATGGAATTTGTCATTTCATTAATAAATAATGCTGATAAAGATGCAAACTTAGCAATTGTGCCTAAAAAGTGACAGATTTGACAAGGAAATATATCCATATATAACAGTTACTGATACTGTCTGAATGCAGTGAAAGGATCCAGATGAACAGATGAAGAGATTAAGTACAATGTACATCAATTACTTGGATGAAGAGAATCTGCAACATGGGGTAAGGTATATTTGCTGCTTTATTAGTTATAAACTGTAAATAAATTGTTAGCAGAAAATAGACACAAAAGCTTTAATTAAAAGCAAATCAGGGGTAAATACTAACTTTTAAAGCATGCAGATACTCAGTGATAGACTGATAGTTTGATAGTATCATAAAAACCAAAAGAACTTCAGTGACTTTGAATTCCTGATAGCCCTAGCTGTTAATGAACTAGTTGCCCATTACAGCCTTTGGCAGCTTATGGAGTCATGACGTGATTGTTGGGGGAGGAGGAAATGAATTCCCAGTGGAGATGGGTATGAAGGTTAAAAATAGGGCCACAAAGAACCAGGTTATGGTGAGGCAGACTTGCCTCCTTACATTTTATTGTAATTATTTAACCCTTCACTCTGTATGAGTGAAATAATTCTCGAATGGGACATAAAACAACATTCAATCAATCGGTCACACTTCACTCGCTGTTCACAGCACTTGTTGCTCTGTACTGGGCACTACTGGCTCACTTAAGCAGGTTAAGTTCAGTTTGGTGTTTACTAGTCATTCCAATGATAAATAAGTCTGAAGAACATTTTTTGTGAGTCGACTGCACAGCAGTGCAACACCTAGGGATCAATTTACCTGGCATCTGTCTGTCCATCTGTCACACCCTATATCTCAAGAATTGTAAGAGGTTTAATTGTTTTTGATATTTGGTTAATATTTTGCTTGGCACTCTGACTTTTTTTAAATACCATGGTTGCCAATCTTGTGACCCTTGAACTTACCTTTGACCTACTTATAAAAAAGTTTAAAGTGCCAATATTCAGCATATTTTTGATAATTTAAAAGAGGTAAGTCTATGCTATTAATAGCATGTTCACAATTTATCATAAATTATAATGAAAAATACCAGCATTATAGTTCACTTGACTTTGACCTTTGTTTTACTTTTCAAAAAATATTTTGAATGGTTAATTTAACTTAAATATTTTGATTTTCTAGAAGTAGTGTTTTGATAATTAGCATTGATGAGCTCATGACACTCTACTTTGAAACTTTTTGATATCCAGTTATCACACAAACTAAAACTTAAATCCTATGAAAACAAATCGGGATCAGTATACCACAATGGGTGGTAATGTAGACTGACAATTGCAGTAAAGACAGCTTGAAATCTCTTTAGAAAAAAACTGTTGAAAAGATTATTGACCATTATATGGTGACGTCTCTTTTTTAGTGAAAAATTCTTAAACAGGATGTAAAACGACATACAATTAAACAATCAATCCAACTACTGAGTGAGCTTTCTAGCTTGTGAACTACCAATTACAGGTAAACTTTGGTATCTCGACATCGCATATGTCTACAACCTGGGATATGTCGACATCCTTCCGCGGTCCCGGCAGTATTTACTATATAAATGATTTGCAAAAACTCTGATATGTCGACCTCGTTAATGTCGACAACCCAGGTTATCTCGACGTATATTTACAGTCCCAAGAGCAAATGTCGACATCGGCAATTTTCTGCTCTACTGAACCTAACTGTTTGTCAGATAGGGTCGCTCGTCACGCACGGACGACTCCGGGTATCTCGACGTCGTCAAAGTTTCACACCTTTCACACCCATGTTTTGACTGCACGCTGCTTAATTAATTTTATAGACTGTGTTTGTAGGTGAATCCCAAGCCCCTTCGGTGTCTTTGAGAAGTTAATTGAGCTTGGGTAATATCATTACTAAATCTACACGATTCTGCGTAAATGTACAGAATGTTATTTATATGGAAACGTAACATAACTTTTAAATTTGAAAAAGATAACTAAATTACAATGAATAAAAAACACACTGAAAATTTCAAACTAAGGAATTAAAAAAATGTTTTAATGATATTTGTAGTTAAAATGTATTCAACAGGAAACAATCCGATTAACGACACGATTGACCAAATCAGCTGTAATTCGTGCATCTGTAACATCACTACGTTAGTTTAGATACACAAATCTCTTTAAAAAAATTAATTTTAATGCATATTCTTCCAGAATAGAATAAGAAAAAAAATAATCCGCATTTAATTTTTTTTTAACTTATATAGGATGTCGACTTTATACGGTTCGAAGTTTATAGAGCGCATTTCGTATCCTGTTCTGACGAAAAGGCAACTTACACGTGAATGCAGCTCAATGCTGTAACTTTGTGCTGAAACTTTGTGAATTTAGAAAGATTTCGATAAAGAACATGTTTCATAAACAAGATTTTTAAAATAACTTCTTAGTTTTTTAATAAAAATAGAAGGAATTCTGAAATATGTTGAGCTACAGTCTATATTAAAGTCATATACATATGATAAGCTTGGCTGTTTTGCTATGCAATGAAATCTTGGACGTCAAGTCTCAACTCTGATATCTCGACACCTCGGATATCTTGACATTTTCCGATGGTCCCGTCGATGTCGAGATAACGAAGTTTACCTGTATGTCCAATTGGAAGTAATATTTGAATGTTTTAAAATGTGATTGTACATTGTAGGAAATAATGTTCCTATAGAAAAGTCAAAGAATGTATACATGTGAGATTATGAAGTAGCCGTACATGATGAGTAGGAATTTGAAGTGAATTATGGGAAAAGGTATGTAATCCATTAGTTTGCTTTAAAGTTAGTGATTTTAAATCTGAACACACTGTGTAAAAGGAATTTTTCCGCCATATTCCTATATTCACGCTATATTGTAGGGTCCCTATATAAGCCACTCACTTAGTCACTGTTCAGTGTAATCTGTTGTCACCTGTCTGTATAGACAGACTGACGTATGCTACATAGCTCTGGGTAGCGACAAAAAATTACTGTGTACTTCTTTCACGGCAGGAGAGAAAGATGCCAATGAAACTTACAACAGTCGCACAGGTCAGTGCAGTATACAAACATACACAAGTACACGTAACTGCAATAAAATAAATAAACAAAGGCAATGCAAGATAACCAGCATGAGCATGTGTCACCATTCCACTCCGATACCTGTGACAATAAAGCAGTCAGGTGTAACAAATGCGAAGAGTATACCCTGGTGCTGATATAGTAGATGATATATAATCGAATATGGTGTATGCCTATTTATGAGATGTGTTCAGCTTTGATTGTTTTTCTCTGACTATATGTACCATAGGTCATAGTCATTTATGGTATATACAGTGGCGCCATGTTTATCCGAACACTTCACCTTCCAGATGCTATTTTTTGGGAATAGATTTTTTCCATGTCATTCTGTCTCATTAATCCAGAAATTCGTGTTCCACATCCGAACGGTCGATTTCTACTACAAAACGTAATAGTTCATTGAAAAATGACTCGTTTATCCGGACGGTAATTTTTCAAGAAATGACTTTTTCATACTTATCTTCAGGGGTTGAAATTTTCCTGGAAATCCCACTAGCCCAGGGGCTACTGATTAGGAAAAAATTACTAGCCCAAATAAGAAACAGTTCAAAATTAATCAATATTATTTTTAACAAACTTAAGCCAAAGAGGCTTCCGGATAAACAAGGCACCACTGTATATATCTATAATACATGCATATAAATGTACTTGCTATTAACAGTGAGTACAGTAAAATTTTCCCATTAAGTATATTAATTTTTTCTATGTGGTTTACTTTATGCCCAATTATCAGCAGTTTCCATAATTGCCATATTTAAGTATAAGAACTAGGTTGCTATAGCAGACAAAAGGTAAATATAAAAAATCTAAAGTGCAAGGTACTTTATCACTGATTGAATGTTAATTAGGGCAGGTGCATGAAATGTTAAAGCTATATAGGATTCACATTGTCCATCTTTATGTCTTTCAGCCAGCAATTAACACTTCAGTTGTAACACAATAAACAAGTTTCAGTTTATGCAGTGTAATACTATACAGGGTATTGATGCATACAGTAAATGAGATCATTAGAATGGTGTATTTATATACTGTATATACTTGATATCAACAATTTTTCTCAGTGGTCTACTTTATGCCCAATTATAAGTGGTCTCCTCAATGGCCATATTTAAGTATAACATATGTATAAGTACAGGTTGCTATAGCAGACAAAGGTAAATATAAAAATCTAAGTGCAAGGTACTTTATCACTGAATGAATGTTAATTAGGGCCTGCATGAAATGATAAAGCTCTATAGGATTCACATATTGTCCATCTTTATGTCTTTCAGTCCAGCAACACTTCATTTGTGACACAATGAATATGTTTTAATTTGATATGCAGTATAATATAATACAGGGTATTGATGCATATAGTGAATAAGATCATTAGAATGGTATATTTATATACTGTAAATACTTGATATCAAGGGTTAATTCAATTTACTCAATTTTTCTCACTGGTCTACTTTATGCCTAATTATAAGTGGTCTCCTCAATGGCCATATTTAAGTACATGTATAAGTACAGGTTACCATTGAAGACAAAAGGCATATACAAAACTCTAAAGACCATGATACTTTGATACTGACTGAATGCTGATCTGGACCCTTGAAAAGCACTTAGTCTTAGTCTTATTTATATGACAATGTGTGGTTTGATATAAGTTAACTGAATTGCCTAGATAACCATGGTAACATATTTCTATCTGTTTTTGGATGTTTTTGCATAAGCAAGGGCTTGGGTCATGCATAAACTTTTCACATTTTTCAACTTCTTCTCAAGAACTACTGGACAAGTTTAAACCAAACTTGTCACAAGGTATCTTTAGAATAAGGATGGCAATGATTAACTGGTTTATTAACTATTAAGAAAGATCATAACCAGTTAAAATTTTCATAACCAGTTTTGTAACCAGTTACAATTTACATACTAACCACTTAGTAGATACAGTAGCTGCAACGTTATTCTTGACAACTTACACGAACGATCACGTTAGACGAACGATTCCGCACGATTCACACACGATAAAATCTGTTACACGAACGATCCTTCACACACACGATTCTACACGTTACACGATCTTACACGATTGCTAACGGAAACGCACGATTCTTCACGCAAAATAGTTCAAATTCTTTAGGAATGGATATTTTCAAAAAGAAATAAGGCTTAATACTTATTTTAGATTTCAAATAATGATTGATTTTATTTCATCGACTTTGAAAAATGAAAAAAAAAAAAAGAAATGGATATTTCTGGAACTAAATACATGTAAGATTTATGAATTATTTTAGATTACAAAAAATTATTTATGTAATTCTCTGACTTTAGAAAACTGATTTTTTTTTTCGTTCTATCAGAAGATGTACATGTAGGTGGACCGTGAGTTTTGATTGAATTGAATTTCATAATATGCAGAAAGGGATAAGTTTGAAAAAAATGGCATGAAAATGAATTAAATTATAAGTTATATCCACATTTCAATTTGTGAATCTCTAAAATCAACAATTATTTTACAAATCATTTATTTGCAGAAATTAAAAAAAATAATCAAAAGTAACCTCCAGAGATAACACTGATAAACGAAACCCCGAGAATCATGTTGTGTAAATGTACATTCACCGACTAAATACTTATGTAAGCATTGAGAATTATTTATTTGTAAAAATGTTTATTTTTGATCTATTGATTTTAAAAATATCTTGACCATAATTAGCAATAAATATAATTAACATCAGAGAAAAAAATCAAACATCTAAGTACGGTTTATCAGAAAAAAATCATGCTATTTGACGAGAACGCAATATTGTACGACTTACTATATTGTTTATTTCCAAGCGATAATAAGTTCATTCTGTTTTCAGTTATGTAAATCGCGCTTCATTTCTTTTTAATTCGGATTGAAAAAAAAAAAAACAGACAAGTGAAATGCTTGTATAACAAAAACATTGCAATAAAAACTTACAAAACAAAATTTACACGTTTCTTAACGCACGATCATGCACGATTAAAACCGCAAACGATTGAGTCTGATACACGCACGATCTCGCACATTACACGAACGATCACGCATGTAACACGAACGATTCTACACGATTCTTTTGTCAACAATAACGTTGCAGCCACTGTAGTAGGGATTGCAATCGAATACAGAATTGCAAATCGGTTAACCGCAAAATGTTCCGACCAATTAACCGGTTAATCGTATCAAACTACACAATGTCATTTTCTTGACTTTTTTCAAGTACCTCTATTCCTATGCACAAGAAGTCTTTAAAAAAGTTGTTAGAGGTCAAATTCATTCTATTTGTCTTTCTTGATCATAAAACTACGCGCATATTTTTTTTCAATAGACAAGAAAAAATTCAGAAAACCATGAACCATGCCTGAGATATCGTGGATAATTTTCATGAGCGGATGTCTCACAAGTTCATTCTTCATTATCACCATAACCAAAACTAAGTCTGAATTGTATCACTTAAGGGGAAGAAGGACCTTGAGCTGAAAAAATACTTGTCATTCAATTTTTTTCATATTTTGTATATTTCTAATTTAGTATGTCCCACATATCTTAAAGCAGTTATATCAGTAGGTTTCTGACCTTATTTTAGAGATATTGATTGACAAATACTATGCCCTGCAGTATCTAAGTGGAGTTTTAATTCTTCATGTTTCCGGGCCCAATACTCTGTCCATAATGGGATTTTTTAAGCATATATAAAAAATATGCAAGTGGACATGTATCTCTTAAAATATTTCAGAGTATGAATAGGTTTAAAATTCGAAAAAGCAATTTTATCCCGTCACACCGCATCTGGATAGGGAAAATTACGTACTTTTTGAGACAACTTAAGAAACAAAAAAAACGTAATTTACAAAAAATTTTATCATTCAATATTTTTAAATTTATGTTGAAATGCAAGTCCTTCAAATTATTGGTTAACTGTAAAAATTTTGAATGGTGAAGCTGATCTCAATATTGCTCAGGACATCATTACAGAGGACATAAGCATGACAAAAACGTGTCATATTTACATTTCTTGAGTACGGGAAAAACCAACTATGACGTCACATGTAAGCTTAATAAGCGAAATAAGATATGCCTACATAAGATTTCTGTCATCAGCCATGCAATCATAATTTTTATGTTCCCCGTTTCTCAAAATATTTCATCACATACTGATTATGACCTGATTTTACATAATAATACCGCCCCTGTATTCACCGAGTATGATCTTGCTGTACTAATAGATCGTGTATGACGTCACCGACTTATTGGACGCGCAGTTTAGGGAAACAGAGGAGTGGATCAATCTTTTTCATAATTTGTTAATGTTTACATGAATGTTAAAACTTTTTACTTTTTTATATAAGATGGCAATTTAAGTTTAAAAAAAAATGTCAAAAAATTATACAAGAACAGATGCTTTACACGTTTTGGACTTATATAAACGGAGATTATGACGTAGATAAAAAGAGTCATGTGACCATGTGTCCTTCATCCCCTTAATTTACAATGTTTGTATTATAATTTAATGTGATAGATAACTGCAAAAGATACACACACAACAATTCATGGTGCTCAACGGTGATTATTATCATTAAAGAATTAGAGGACAGTCGGGGTAACGACATGATGTTTTAACAGTAATTAACATATCTCAGACTGACCAATTACCCCACAATTTTAATCTGGAGAGCCATAATGACCTCCCAATCAGCCTACATAAATAAATGAAAACGCTAAATTAAATGTTTAGGTAAGAATTTCTATTTTGAAAATGAATTTTAGTACATTGCCTTCAGTTTTACATATAATATAATTTTATTACGACTAATCGATTGCAGATTTTCTAATCGATTGCCATCGTTCCAACCGAGTAATCAGTTAACCGGTTAGAAATTGCCATCCCTAGTAAATAGTTTTTGTCAATGAGTATTTGTATTTACTTTTTCAATAATATTTTCATTTTTTGAAATAAAACTTGTAACATGTTTCAAACTGAAATGTGACAATCAAGCAGTTACCATATCTTGCCGAATATAACATGCATTGGTTTAAATATGCACCCCCTTTTTCAGCCTGATAACTTGGGGAAAATTGCAGCTCGGTTGTAAAGATTATTTGCTACAAAATCTTATTTCGTACAGGGCACAAGTTATTTAAACATTAAGATTTTAACAGACTTGAAATTTCTTTGACAATAACTTAAAGATAAGTCACTTGACATATGTGTTGTAATCAACACACACCCAAAGCTTAAAAAAATGAAGAACGAAGGTTATAAATCGACCTCTCAAATATGAAACAGGGCTCTCAATTGTCTATAATTGGGGCCGTTCAAGGGCCCCACTCCGAATTCAAAAAAAGGTGCCTTTTTTCCCAATAAATGTGTTAATTTTCCCAATAGTAATTTCTCCCAAAAATTAAAGAAAATATAGCTGGATATATACCAGTAATAACTTAACTTGCTATTCAAATTCCTCTGTTTTATAAAACAAATTTAGTTGATAACGAAGACCGGAAACCCAATATATATGATTTTAAAGTACGTGTAATGGTTATTCCAAAATTTCCTAAAAGGTCTTTATTTTCCCAATCTTCCCAAAAAGCAGTGTGAAAATGAAAACAATTATATGTACAGCAAATAAGAAGTGCCCTATCTTGTCAAAAATGTGATTGGAATAGATAGACCATTTCTTTATCCAGGTGAATATCATTACCGCTACATTTTCAAAATGGTAATTATTTACCGCTACATACTCATTACCGCTGCAAAAAATGTACACATTACCACTACATTTAAAAGTTTACATTATGAATACATTGCCTCTTTCATTAGCCAATGGATTATGCATGTACAGATTGATACAAAGTACATGTACAACATATCCAAGCATAAGACCTTTTTCCACTGCTCACCATGGGAGACGAAAGTAGGGCTTAACAGGGTGGCTTTTTCCCACTTTTTTATTAGTCCCCTACCAGTGAAACCAGAGGGAATTATAGGTTTCCTCTGAGTCTGTCCATCTGTCTGTCTGTCCCTCTTTCAGTCTGTCCCATTTGTTTTCCGCACTTTTTTCTAAATGCTTGCAGATATTGAGCTGAGTTTTGGTATGTAAGTGTATCTTGATGAGTTACAGTTCAAGTTTGCATTTTGTTATGCTTCTGAATCAATGATTTTTAATGGAATTGTGGCAATTCAATTTTTAGTGGGAACCAGATTACACTTGCCGGTAGGGGACTAGTATTGCTAATGCAATACTCTCAAAATGCTTGTTTAATCTTAATTATAGTAGGTATTTAAGTATGCAAGTATAATACTGTACATATAAATGCTTGTTCAAAATAAAGTTTTTCTCGTAATTTCAGCCCAATGCAACAGAAACTAAAAATTCAAGAACCTATTGGTAATTAATCTGATGTTTTTTAAATAGATTGATCGAAAGTACATGCAATATAATTCATACTATATAAAGGTGCAGTGTTTAATTGATTTGTTACAAAAAAGAGCAATGACCATATCACCAATGCTAATGTAGTGGTAAATATTTTTAATATTTAATAAGTTCCACATTTTTTTTTTCACAGTGAAATGGTAAAAAAGAAACTGCTAGCGCTACTGTGCAGACTACCATCAATCAACATGATCAACAAAATCAAGTAATCCTTCTGAGTAAGTGACCTGTAGTATTATCTGTTTTCACCTAGGCCAATATGAGAAGGATGAAAGTTATTATACTCAATACACAAGTTTGGAGATTGTAGCTCTTCAACAAGAGAAACACAAAAAGAAGCCATATCCGCATGAAAGTGGCAGAGATTGTTGATAAAGTATACACAATCATGATTAAATAAATGTCAAAATGATGGCTTAATTAGGGCCTTTTAAAATGTAATTAATATTAAAGAAAGATTATACATGCATATTATGTCAGGCAATGATGATTTTGGTGATCATATTGAGCTATACTTTAGTAATACAGGTTTTTGGATGCTTGAGTCTCTGATTGACAATATATATGTAGTTTTTGGAGACCAGGTCTTCCAATAATCTGTCAGAATTCCCATGGGTACCAATTGCAACCTGTTGTTAGGCTAGCAGACCTCTTTTTATATTCATATGAAGCAGAATTTATTCAATATCTTACACATGAGAAGAAGAAAACACTTGCTGTGGTCTTGAATTCGACAGTGAGATATATCGATGATATATTATCAATTAACAATAGTTATTTCCATTCATATGTCAACTATATATATTATACCCCAGTGAGCTTGAAATAAAAGATACCACAGAGTCTGACACATCTGTTTGGATATTATTTATTTCCATCCCTAATTAAAATTTTATAAATTGATTATGTACATGTAATATTAAATGCATGTTTCTTGGAAAGTATGTTTTAAGTGTTTCCTTACTACTATTAAGGATTTTCATGGTATATCAGATCCTTGTTTATTATCCTTTTCTAAGTGTTACTTTTCTCTAAGCAGTAAACAGGCAGTTGTATCACTAATGTTAGGTGGAGACACCTATCAAGTTACCTACAGTTACAGCCAAGGTTTAATGAAGAATCATCTGGAGTCTGGCAGTGAGAGTGACAGTCGGCAGTGGATACTCACTCCTCTAAGGCACCTGATCCCACCTCGGATGTTTTTTAGGTAGAGGTTGCACTGCTCAAATCATAATTTGAATGGACTTTTGAGCTTAAATACTATTCGTTGTCTCCATATTTCGTTTTATAAAATCTACTTTTAATTAGGATGATTGAAAACAAATGAATCATCAATCCCTTTGAGAGAAGACACTTCCTAGATTGTACAAATTTATTCTAAAAAAAAAATAGTGGAATCTTTAAAATTATTACGAGGGGAAAGAGTCATTGTTTCATTTAGAATCCTGACGTGCAGTGATCAGATGCCTATATATTAGAGATCCAATTTTCTTTCTTCGTATTATTATAAGATTTTTCCAGTGTGTTTTTTTCCCAGATATTTTTGGTATTTATTATTTAAATTTTGAGCTGATTAGTGCATCCAAATAAACAGTTATAGACCAGTATATTGAACATGTCCTACTAGCAGGTTTATGAAATATATGGAGATAACAAACAGTATTAAAGCTCAAAAGTTTGTTCAAACAGTACAATTCAGGAGCAGAACAATACGGACCTCTAAAACATCAGAGGTGGGATCAGGTGCCATGGAGGAGTGAACATCCCCTGCTGACCAGTCACTCGGCGGTGTGCTTCCTGTCATGATCCAGGAAAAATTAGAAAAATCTGTATGCAATTCAGTGTGTAAATAATGGCCTGGAAATTAGATTTAAAACGTCAATCAGCACTTGACTTAATGATAGATTATATTTTCTGACAAGCAACAAGGTCATTGTATCGACCATATAACTATTGTAGTGATGACTTTAAACAAGACTGATGATATTCTTGTTTCATCAACTTGTTTGTCAATATTTTACTTTGTTTTAGAAATTGTTCATAGGTAGAGCATGCTCTTGCGTATCGAATCAACAGAGAGATATGAACCCTGTATGCAGGTGATGAGGGTATATTGCTGCATTTCAAGTAAGGGAAGTTGATGATTGAAAAGTTAGTCATAAAGGTTTGTTGTTAGGTTACCATTAACCTCTTTTTATAGTAAATTATCAAAATATGAAACAGATGTGTCAGACTCCAGGGATAGACTTTAACTTTCATATTCACTTGTCCTATGGGATAACAAATTTTGACTTGTCCAAATGCAAAACTTGGTTGCCCAAACCTTAGAAAGAAGAAAATACGGGTAATTTAATTTATGTGCAATAAAGTACTTTCTATTGGCAAGTTAACTGCCAAGAAAAAATGTTGATGTGTCAGATATCCTACAATTGTAAATTCTGTACATGTATACCACTGTCCTTTCATTTATCCTGAAAACTTGCACTGCCATGCAGCAGAATATATTTTCTTTAAAATAAAATTCATATTTTAAATATATATATATTTAAGAAATGAACTTAATTTTTTAAGATTCATGAGGACATGAACTACGACGCTTCACGCCGGCATATTTCATGAAGCGCGTTAGCGCTTCATGATAAATATGCCGGCGTGAAGCGTTGTAGTTCATGTACCTCATGAATCTTCAAAAATTAAATTCATTTCTTATATTTACATTATTTTCTGATGAGTTACCACAAATTACGCCATTCAACTGTCATTTTAAAAGCAAAACAGTTTGCACTATAGTTTTGACGTCAAGTACGGTATTATGACGTAACAATGGAGATATTCATGCTCATCCATGGTAGTTCATGAGAAAATGAACTGTCTTCTAATTTGCAAAGAATCTTAAGGAAAAATATTTGGAAATGTAAATATATATATATATATATATATATATATATATATATTATTTTGATTTTTTTCTCTGGAAAACTGAGGCCACACTAAAGGAAAACAGTTGTTATGTTTTGAAACATACATATCCTGATCGGAATACATTGTTTGCCGAGAATAACTGGTGTTCTCTGAGTGAAAAACAAACTATTCTTGTTTAAGAAACTATTTTTGATATGTTCTTGGCAGAAAGTGTTATTGTTTTGTTTAAAACTAATGCAAGATATGAAAAAAAAAGAGAAGTTTTTATCTGAAATATTCACTTGCCCAATCGGACAAGTACATTGGCATTTTCACTTGCCTTAACTGGGAATTAACTTGGCCCGGATAATCGGACAACGGTTAATGTCGATCCCTGGACTCTGTGGTATCTTTAAATTATCAAGCTCATTGGGATAATTGTGTTGAAATATGAATGGAAATAATTAATACCGTAAAGTCACGTGTATCGGACACACTTTTTTTTTCAGAAAAATTGTTCAAAAGTGTGGGTGCGTGCATTACATAGGAACTAAATTCAACCCCTTTTTCTGGACATTTTTTCTTAACTCTTATGAGTGATTTTCACTGTTACCACATTGTAAGTTTATTACATATTATTCCCCAATTCTTGAATGATAGTCACGTATGACAGATCGCTGATAAATAAATCAGCAAACAGAAATGTAAAAAGATATTTCCATTAAAATATTATTCAAAATTAAATATATATATATGTATATTTAAAATAAATTATCTTTTTCTAACTTGGATATCATCACTGCCAAATTTAACTCCTCTCGACCCTAATGTAGGTCATATTTGTTTATATAACAATTTCCGGCCATTTGGTTTTGAAACAACTGCCATTTTAAACAATACACTTGTAATCAGTAAAGTTTATTTAATGATAAATATTTTACACACCTTTTTAGTTACCTGGTATCACTTGTATACATAAGTGTGACATTAATTACGCTTGGGATGATTTGTTTACGTAAACACAGACACCTGCTTGGAATGCATTTTCAGCACAATATTGTAAAATGCTTAGGGTTATAGGGAAAAAAAATACAGGACTTAATTTTTAATTTATACCAATCAAATAACAGTTAAAATACAGACTATACTTAAATACTTATAAATAAAGCTTATATGTAAACTGAATTTTCCAAGAAAATTAGAAGTTGTATCCTACTTTCGTTTTTGAAATAATATGAATATTTTAACTTTTTAAACTTTTTCTTTGGAATAGTTGTGCTGTGAAAATAAGAGATACATCCGCATTTTTGGGGTAGCGTTTTATCCATAGGAACTGCATTTTTCTCAGGATTTCCCCCCCAAATTTGGGGGTGTGTCTATTACAAGACTACGGCCTTTACACCTGACAATATGGTACTTAGTCAATATATCTAAATGTTAAAGGCGACAGCATGTATTTTCTTCTTCTCATGTATAAGATTTTAAATAAATTCTGCTTTGTATGAATACAAAAATAGGTTTGATAATAACGGAGCACAATTGGTACCTATGGAAATTCCAAGAGATTTTTGGAAGACCTTGTCTCTAAAAACCACATAGATATTGTCAATCAGAAACTCAAGAATCTTTTTAATATCAACTTCAGAGTACTTGTGTGTACAATCAGTGTTTTTTTACAAATAATTTTGCAAATGACCAATGACAAGATAAGTTAGTTTTTGAGTTCCACTTTTAATGAAAAAGCAGCTGTCAATAAACAAATCTCTCATCCATACAAAAAACAAAAAAGCATACCAAGGGTGATAATCTCAAAACTTAAGCATTGATCTGTTCGAAATAATTTTTTTTTATTGACATACATTTAAGGATAAACAACAATACTTGATATCGCGATTACTTAAATTAGCGGAACTCTTTCACGGAGGTAGGAAACGTCTGTTGGATGGGGGCAGTGTACTATTGAATGCAATGCATGATCGATCATTGTGGAATTTATAAGGACTGATAAGAAAGAAATCCTAGAGAAATATCTTGCTAAACATGCGCTGAACCAGCCTAATAAATTTTTGAGAGGAGCTAATCCTGTATGTTGCATGTTTTACGATACTTTTTACTAAGCGGACTTTTCTTATTAAATTCTAAATGAAAATCGTTACTTTTGAAAGTTGATAAAATACTCTAAACTTTCCTTACTTGACAAATCTACTATTTGGAGTTCAACTCTTGACAATACATTGTAGTTTCGGCATAATGATTGTTCGAATCATTCCATTGTCACCACTGTAATGTTATGCCCCAGAAATCTTGTGAGATTTAGAGCTTCCTCGACTCCCATGCTAATTAAAGAGTGGTTGTAAGTTAGATAATTGCGAGATACTCGCAATACTACGTATTGCAAAATACTGGTACTTTTAATTCAATTCACTTGTGCTCACCTTTAAAATGCATTCACAATTCTTTATAAAGTTGGTGACATTATGTATGAAAATATGAAGTCTAGTTACATGTTTAAAGTATGCTTGTGGTACATGTATGCATTTTTTTTTCTTGAACAGTAAAGGAAGGGATGAGAGAGTTCATCGAGTGCTATAAACTTTCATTTGTATGTTATTTTTTATAGATGGAGTAGTACACAAGCACAATTTTTTAAAGAAAGAAAAGTCAATGGAATGAAAGCCAAAGAAAAGGTGAAGTGAATTGTCACTCATTATATTTTAAATTTAATGTGGACATGGTCATTATTTTAGTTTTGTCATAACCTTCTTATCAATTTTAAGCAGTGCAGACAGATGCATTTCTTATTGCTTTGAATAGAATAAATTATCAAAAAAGTTTGTATATGTTTTTTGATATAGAATTTATATTAAAAAAAATTATCAATTACTGCAGTTTTGAATTTCAGTACACTAGAAATTTTTCTGCCCTGCCATGAATATGGCTGGGGCATATAGAGTTTGTCATGTCCGTCTTCCTTCCTTTCAACCTTCTGTCTGTCCTTCCATTCCACTTTGCTTTTAGCTCAGTTCAAAACTAAGTTTCAAAGAAACTATTCAAGATATTTTTATCAATCTTCATATGCTGATACATATTGATAAGAGGTATTCAATTTCATCAACGTACCTTGACCTTTCCTTTAACTTTGACCTCACTTTTCTTAAATTAGTGTTTAACTCAGTTTTAAAGAAACCATTCAAGATAGTGCAATCAAACTTCATATACTGATACATACTGAATCAACATTTTTTACCTTGACCTTTCCTTTGACCTTGACCGTACTTATCTTAAATAAGTGTTTAGCTCAGTTTTAAAGAAACCATTCAGGATAGCGTAATCAAACTTCATTTGCTGATACATACTGATGAGAGCTATTCAACTGCATCAACATTTTTTGATCTTGATTTTTCCTTTGACCTTCACCTCACTTTTTCTAAATTAGTGTCAAACTTCATATTCTGATACAGACTGATGTAAGGTATTTGACTGTATCAACATTTTTGACCTTGACATTTCATTTGACCTTGACTTCATTTTTCTTGAAATGGTGATTAGCTCAGTGTTAAATAAACGGTTTCCATTCAAAATATTTTTTATCAAACTTATTTTGCTTATGCGTATTAGTGAGAACTATTCAACTGCATCAAAAATGTATGACCTTGAACTTTCCTGTGACCTGGACCTCACTTTTCTTAAATTTGCATTTTGCTTAGTTTTAAAGAAACCATTAAATATAATTTTATGTGAGCTTATGCACTTAACAGAATGTGGTGGGAATTTATCATCTATATCCAACTTTTTCGATTTCAATGTTAAAGAAACTATTTTAAGATATTCTCATCAAATTTCATACACTAAAAATATTTTTATGTTGCATTACTAATATGCCCACATGGTGCAGTGGTTAAAGCTCTAGAGTTGCGGAGTAAGGAGTTGATCCTTATGTCGCTGGTTCGAATCCCACTGTGGGACGTGGAGACCGTATAAACCGAGGTCCCATGTCACAGTAGGTGCTGACATAAAAAGATCCCTCACTGCTTAATGGCCCTTAGTGCCGAGTATAGGTCAAAATTTGCAGCTCTCCACCGGCAAGTGGTGGCGTCTCCATATGAGTGAAAAATTCTCGAGAGGGATGTTAAACAATAAACAAGCAAATAAAAATTAATATACCCTCAGCGGGGCATTCATGTCCTATGGACATATTTCTAGTTTTGCCCTCTTTTACATTTGTACATGGATATACTTTTTATTTTTGCTCTGTAAACAACAACAACAAAAACATTATACCATATAATATGCACAAAATTATATGCTAGGAATGTATTGTGAAAGATGCATTTCAGCTGACAAATGTAGCATCTTTAAGCCAGCTTTTTAAAAATTTTTCTGAATGACTTTCAGGTACTTCTTTTATATTTGCAACTCATTTATAGGGATGTATTAGTATGGTAGCCTGTCTGCCAACACCTTGTAGATGAGATTCTAGCACATATTGTGTGAAATGGTTCTCTTAATTGACATGGGAAGGTCACTATTTTTTATCAAGATAAAAATTACTTGTATGTCTTGTAATAACATTATTTAATATATCCCTTTCATAGCACACATGTTCGTTTCAAAGAGAAGAAAACATTTATAATTTTTCAAGGTCAATAATCTCATGGATGAAATGCAAACTGTACTATTTGAAATAGGTGGTATAGGTATTTCAGAGTCTGTATTACATCTTGCCAGTTTATTGTTGGAGGGAATATTCTCATCAAATAAACTATGTAAAGATTTGCTTTTTAATGAAAGTATTTTTATAAGTAATAACTTCATTTCAACTTACAATGAACAGTTAATCAATGCATCTCACTTTGTATCTAATGCATTTTTAGAACACAAATTTGTGGTTTAAAATATGTTGTAATAGTTTAATAATTCTATTCATTTTTTTTAATTGACAAGAAATGAAAATGTAATGATTATTTCAAAATAGTGTTTTATTCCTCTTATGTATATTTATAGATATGTAAAAGATTGTTATTTTTATTGATGTTATTTTTGTGTACAAAATACTAGTTATTTATTACTTTATACAAAACTAATGTTGTGAAGATTGATAATAATAGAAGTCCTTATGCATATATTGAACAGTATACAAATGTCACCAATGTAATACACATTTACAAATAAAATGAAATTTTACATGACTTGCACATATTTGCATTATTTGTTACAGTTATAACAAATCTAATTCATTGTATTTATTGTTTCCAATTTTTATTGTCTATTCAAACATGGAAAAATTATATGTGTAATGATGTTAAAGACACAAGAATATGAATTAAAATAAGACTGTATGAACTACCTTTAGATTTATGAATTCAGTAGACAGTGACTGTGACAAATGTGTATTTAGGATAGAGATCTTAGACATGAGAAGAAAAGGGGTTGTTTTACAAACTTTTTTTTGCATGGGGAAATATTGACATTTTTATACAACAACAAATGAAGTTACTGGAATTGTGAAGTCTACGTGTCTTCTGTGAGTAGACATCTTTTGAAACAAAGGTAGCTTGGGGCCAGAAATATTCTAGACCCAGTAGTAATGGTCTTTTGCACAAGGTCATAGTCTCTGTATATCAAAGTATTAAATACTTACCAATAATTGTTTGTAACCTCAGAGTATGATCCTAACACAGGTTAATACAGGTCAAGGCCATAGGGTTTAGAAATGTAATAAATATTCAGATAAACACATAATTCTGTTTGTTTATTTGTTTGTTATACATCCTTTAAGAATTTTTCACTAGTATTGAGACACCACAACTTGCTGGTTGAGGGCTGCAAATATAGACCTGTACTTTTGAGCAGTGAGAGGTCTTTTCTTGTCCCAGCATATACTGCAACAAGGGAATTTGGTTTCATTGGAAGAACCGGTTTCCATGTCCTTCAGTGGGATTTGTACCTATGACTTAAGGAACAAGTCGTTACTCCACTACTCTAGAGCAAATGCTTTGACCACTGCGCCAAGCGGGCAATCACATTATTGTTATACTAGATGTAAATCAAGGCGAAGGGATAATTGTGACTTGGGGATGTATAACAACCCTGCATCAAGTTCAATTTTGTCCACTATAAAATAACTTCCAAAGATTATATTATCCTAGGGTTCATTATGCTCAGAGTATATGACATAAATTGGATATATAAAATTCTAAAATACATTTTTTTTTTTAGAAAAGTACAAGGTTATAGTTCCAAGAGGTCATATCTAGCATGTACAGGTGATTGTGGCTTAGATGATGATTCTATACCATAAGTCATCATGTGACTACGACGTTTTAAATCAATGTGTTTCTTTGGTGGTGGATGAAATATTTTCTTAACATAACAATTACTATCGGTCATTTACTATATTTCCATAAGATTCAGGACATGAAAATTTGTCTACGAATAGACATCACCCTATTAGTTCCTTCTAGTTAAAATAAGGAATCATCATACTGGCTTTTAAAGTGCCTAATATTTTACTTAAGATAAATGGAAATTGACCAATAAATACTGGTATGAGAAGTACATTTATGCATGTGTAGTTTTTTATTAAAATAATTAGAAAAAAGAAAATGGTCTACATAATCACGTATATATATATTTTGGTCTCCTTTATGCATTATATATACTTGGTCTACTTTAACCCTTCGGGATCCTCATAAAATATATACATGTCTACCTTAAACCTCCAATGTATTTACAAAATATTAAGGAGACCAGAAATGTCGTATATTTTTCAGGAAGCAACATTTAGGGCTGAGGGGGTAAAATTTTCATTATTGAAGCCTATTAGAATAAATTTGGGTGAAAGTGTGAATCAGAATGTCTCAAATAAAAGAAATGAAAAATGTCTACTTAATGCCTCAAAATAAGTGCGGTCTACTTTATGCCAAAGTCCACCTTATATATATATATATATATATATATATATATATATATATATATATATATATATATATATATATATATGCTCTATCTGAAGTTACTAAAAAGTTATTACATTCTTTAGTTTAAACACTTTTAAGATGGGTTCTTTCATGCAGTTTAGTGCTCAACTTGTACAATTGTAAATGCTTTTTAATAAAAAAAATTTTCGCAAAGATTCTTTGGAAGATCATCAAATTATCTTTAAAAGAGTTTTGCATTATCATGCAAATTTTAATCTTGTAAACATGCCTTTCTTAAGAATTTAAACTACATCAAAGGCTCTCCACTGTTTGGATTAAGAAGGTAGTTTTTCATTTATTTTTTCCTCAATCATGTACATTTCAAACGATTTATTAAACTTTTATCGTGTGTTTGTAAACCCATTTAAAATCCATTTTGAACATTTGATTTTATCCTATATCGTGTTTACATTTACCTTCCAAGTGCTTTTTATTGATAAAGATGATTTCAAACCATTGTGCTGCAAAAATTTAATTTTTTACCATACCAATCTGTGAGAACCCCTTTGTGAATCTTTGAAGAGTCGGAAGTATACTCTGTTTATTCGATGTTGTTTGGTAAAAGTCTTCTAGAATGCAATATTTCGTACAAATCATATTTGAAGCACCCCTTTGCAAGGTAGCTAAAAATGGTCTCATCTACAATGATTGCAGACGTAATGAATTATTGATATCATACATACACTTCAGATCAAATGGAAAATAAGCACTTTGCGTGATGTGATTTCCAGTCATCGTATTGACCCGAAAACAGACACCACTGGTTAGTTTCCACTTGAGTATTCCGAGTGTTAATTCTATCTTAATTCATTACAAGCAATTATTTTTGCCAGGAAATGTTCTCTTGAATAATTTCGGGAATTTTCTTCGGAGAGAGTGTTTTCCTTGGAGAATCCGACTTGTGTTCTGTGTATTGACCATTGCTTGCACGCAGATGGTGACAAATGAAATCCCCATGGACCCGCATTCTCTCGCTTCACAAAATTAGACAATGAAATTAAGACATGGATTTCAAATTGACTTGAATGTGTTCAGCAAATGAGGGTTATAATTGAATATTTACTCGACTGAAAGGAAATAACTACTCCAGAATCTCTTAGCTTTTTGCGTTTTCGATTGATGCTATTTATTAAACGGACAGAAAAATATCCTTTCATCATTTGGGTTGTAACATTGCAGCAGAACGATGGTTTGGTTTATTTTTGTGGTTTTTGTTTTTGTGCCTTGTGTATTTTGTTCAGTACCCGTGAAGAACGATAATTGTACATATCTGTTTGATATGGAAAGAAATTCTATCAAAGTAACGTGTTCTAAAAATGTGACTGTGACCATTCGTGGGAAAGGAAATACAAAATTACTGACCGGAAATGATGAAGCCATGAAATACTGGTTTGAAGCCAATTTAAACGCCCATAACAATAAAACAACTCGTTCTGGGGATTTTAATACAAAAGCCATGCACAAATTAAAAGGTGCAAATAGGATTTTACGGAAAACAAAAAAGATTCTCGGAAAGAGATTGGCTGCCCTCAATGTTACATCAAGTGATTTAGAAGACGGGGATGTCAAACTTAAAAACGATGTTGAAATTTTACAGAGATATCCTCCAGGTTCCATATTTGCACACCAATCTATTGTTGCAGCCATTAAAAATCAGTACAAGTATCTCCAAATGGCCATGCTTACCCAAAACAACGAAATGAAGCAACTTGTCAAGTCAATGACGTCATTGGTTTCTGCTACCCAGAAATCCATTCGAAGTGTTATGGCGATGGGTGACGAGTTACAAGAACAACTGGTTCTGCTGAACACAGCTCTTGTTCGATGTAATATGACGATTATCAACAAACAAAAAGGTTTGTGATCGATGGCTATTTTGACATAAAGGTCATACATAAGAAATTGTCAATATTATGGAAAGCTGACTCTCTCCCAACTTAAACCGAATTTTTCCGTCATAATTTTCTCACCTTAAGAAATAAAATTCAAGCAAATTTGATATACCATAAGGGCAATGTATAGTAGAGACAAATCAGTTGATGAAATGGAATAAATAATGAAACATCTTGGACCTTCGAAGTGACGTATACAGATAAGACCACGGTTAATTAGATGTTTTGGTAGCTTTGATCAAAAGATCCCACTTGTTGTAAAATGTTGTTTGTAGACCTTGCGCCCCATTTCTCTATCCATAGCTATCCATCCTTGTCAAAACATTGATTGAATTTTCTTCTTCTGGTACAAACTGATGGATAATCTGGTAAAAGTTTTATACATGAAAACATAAAAAATTGTATTTTATTATTTACAGTTGTAAATGGACCGACTTTAATAAATTCACTTGTTCAGTCAGCTTTCACGTATATGTTAAATGTAAATTATATGTATAAATATTGTAGCCATGCAAAATATATATATTATAGAAGTAAGAAACTATGTTTGACCAATTTTTCACTCTGTGTTTTTTAAAGTCTTTCAAAAGCCTCCTACCATTTAAATTTCTGCCATGTACAATTTTAACGTTATAACAACTATTTTCACATCATTATACATGGACTAGTAGTTTGAATTTCTTTTATTTTTTAAATTACAGACTACTGTCCTCGGATCTTGACGTCTATTTACCCTTCAAAGGACAGAGTGGTCAAGGTGGGTATCGCAGTGGGTACTATCATGAAAGATCCGGTTCCATCCGGTCTCTACTGGGTGACGTATGATTTTAGTGACATCAATGAGGTGGTTGCTTATAAGACTTTAGAGGACTTTGAGTTGGATATTTCCCAAGAAAAACGCAAACTTCCGTTTTTCTGTGAGGGCACAGGGCACACAGTGTACAAAAACTACTTTTACTGCCAAAAGATGATGACAAATAAAATTGTACGGTACAATCTTATGGAATCTCGTTGGTTGGGAGAACTGGAACTTCCGGGTGCAGGTGCGCACAACGCTTATCCATACCAGTCGGACCGGTTCAGTGACATCGACTTTGCAACGGATGAATACGGATTGTGGGTTATTTATGCGTCCTCAGCGTCTAGTGGAAACGTAGTTATCAGCAAGATTAATGAGGACAATTTCACGATTTCAGAAACATGGACGACTTTAATCCCCAAACGCACTGTTGGAAATACGTTTATGATCTGTGGAATATTATATGCAACGGATTCTTACACTAATTCGCCAACGTACATTAAATACATTTATAATACCCATAACGGGGGCAATAAAGAACTAAAAAGCACGGAAATAACGTTCACAAACACTATAAGAAATGAATTTGTTTCAAACTATATGCTTGACTATAACCCCTTGGACAGGAAGTTGTATACTTGGAATCATGGGAGAGTTGAAATATATTCAACGATGTCCTCAACAATCGATAAATAACGAAAAATAGTAGTATGCAGTGAGTAACAAATTAACACAACTGTGACCTGAAAAAATATTGATTAAAACATTGTTGATAATTTATTGCCCCCACCAGTATCTATTATAAATTGTGTGTATCACTCATCAGTACCTCTATATGGACGTGTGACAAGTGGTGATTAATGTTGGTAGTGGCGTCAAGTGCACTAGCTAAAATTAACTACAAATTACATGCTTGCAGAAAAAGGTTCTCATATACATATATTATAAAATCCATGGTAGTCAGTCCTACATAGTGAACGATTTCACGTTTTAGTTCACTATATCTGTAACTTTTGTTATAATTATGTTCTCTTATTTGGCGTTTATTATCCATTTGAATAATTTTTGTGATTGATTTACCCTGAATACATTTTAGGTTGCTACAATTTGGCTATGAAAATATCCTTGAATCGCAATAATACAAAAATTGCGATAAATTGACGAAATTACATTTAATTGCAAAAAATATAATTATTTTTGTGAATTATTGACATAAAGTGGATAGGACTGAAACAGCTAGAGCATCTGAATATTATCAAAATTTAAGATGCATGTAACTATAATAACCTGACAGCTTTCGGGATCTTTTATAAACAGTTAAGTTGCCGCCAAATAATGCATGTTAGAAACTAAAACAATTGTGAATACACAAAAGTTACGTTACATTTCATTTATAATCGCTTTGAATATAAAGTTCATGATGATGAAGCGAAAAGAAGATTATTACTGTCTTCCATGGAAGACAGTAATGTAGACAGAGTTGAAGTTCTTTTTTGTACAGTCTTCGGATATACACTTCCTCTTTTTTGTGATTGGTAGAAAATGCATGATGTGAAAATTTCAATTATTTCATTGGTTGAAATGCTGTTCATGGCAAGGGAGATAATTTTCTGGTGATTTAGTTTTCGTACGACTTAAATTTTTCATGATTTTCATTCTTTAAAAAATCGACAAAACGATCAAAAGAAAATTCCAATAAATAAAAATGACACTTCTAAAATTTTCATAGCAATTATTAAAAAGTATTTCTATATTTTTATGGTAAACAGGAATCTTTTTTGCATGCAAACATTAAAATATGTGTTATTCTTTTTACTTTGTTTTGTCTGTCTTTCACATGGTACATGTAGAAACAAATGCATTTTCTCATTGTTTACTGTACAGGCATTTGTCTGGCATAAGATAAATGGAGGGCATAAAATGCATTTTCTCGGGCCTTTCCGGCAAGCTCGAAAAAAAAAACACACTACTTTTTCCGCTTGGTTGAAAATTCTGAGAAGTTGCGATCGATGGTAGAGCTTATGTCTCCAAATGGCTAATGGAGAAATACAAAGAAGAACTCATCGTTACTGCTCAAAAATAATACGGCCTGATACATATGTAGGTGTATGTCAGTTTACTCTTTAAGGTTATTGCTAAAGACGGTAAAGCTGTTTGAAAAAAGCTATACTTGTTCAATGAGTTCTTGAAATTCTTATCTACTGATATTATATATAGATATATGTTCCGCACAATTTAAAACATCCTCTGAAATGGCAAACAATTGGATGAACGTGATATTTTTTATGTACAGTGTAAATATATACACTGTAGTAAGAAGCAACGGGAATAAATCACTTTCTTCTTTAATTTTAAATCAATTTTGCTGTAGAAAGTAAAGTTTACATAAAACTGTTAGAAACTCTGCATTTCTCTTTTTTTCTTCTTTTTATAAGTATTGAATTTCAATTTTATTGTGTTGTCCTTTTTGACCAATTTTTTTTAATCAAATCAACTCTGCAATATGACCCCTCGCAACAAACTGGTCCTACAGGCTTAATTAATTAATAACATCAATGATACTTAATGAATATAATTTTTTACACATAGTAGCTAAATATTGACACTGTTTTCATTTCTTCACATTCTCCTAATAAATTAAATGTTCACATTAAAAAAAAAAGATCGGATAGAAACAAAACAAAATGAGGAAACAACACAAAACATTGATATACACTGAGTACCCTTGATTCCGTCGAAAAAGTTGCTTTTATTACATTTTCAACAGTGAAATAATGTGATTTATTTATTGAATAAAAGTGACATTCTTTCACAGTGAAAAGATACCAAAGTGATATTCTGTCACAGTGTGAAAGGATATCAAAGTAAGTAAAAAATAATTTCTGGCCTATAATAAGGTAGAGATGGTAACTAAAACATCTTGATAGAGACTATAACTGCCAATTTCTTCCCAAATATGTTGCTAAAATCCATGTTACAATTGTCTTCAATCTCACAACTGCTAAGATATGATGTCTCAACTGCTCAACTATGACGTCACAGCCTATGACACAGTGTTACGAAAAGACAGAGGCAAAGGGACAATCAAAGAAAATGTAATAAACAGAAAATTCAATGTTTTCTAGTTGGATATGGAAATTATTTCACTCGTGAGACAGGATTTTTTTTTAAATATTTTTACTCGTGCTTCGCACTCGTGAAAATATCAAAAAATCATGTCACACTCGTGAAATAAATTCCATATCCCACTGCAAAACATTGAATATCCTCTATATATACAATGGTTTGACTACACGGATCTTTCTATTATCGATTTTGATAGAGCATTATTCTGGACATTATTAATTTCAGCTACAACTGACAACTTTGGATCGATTTTTTCCCCCATTTTTAATTAGGGATCGCCGGAATTTGAATCAATCACTTTGAATTCCTCTTTATTGAAATTCCACACTGTAAGAAAAATTGTTGCATTATAAAATTGGGAGGGTAAATATGACAAACAATGTTTATGCATGTTAATTGATGACAGTAACGGACAAAGCCTATTAAATATCCTCTCAATGGCTATTTTTTCCACAAAAATACATTGCTTTGTTTATTTTATATCCTTATAAAATAAGTATGTTTTTAATTTTATGACTAAATTTCTTTAGATATTAAATTTTTATTTAAATAAAAAGATCAGAATTTACCATCATCCTCTGTAACACAGACTTCATAAGGTTAACGAGCTTTTGTTTGCCTAACGTTTTTTTCTCATTAGCCTTGTCTTTTTTGTCTCCCTGAAAGCAATATATAATATATAAACATATCATAATTAATTTAATTCAACATGTACAAAATGGTAAATAACATTACTTTGTCGTAGTTTTCAACGATATGATGTATACGTTCAGCATTATTCAACTCAGTGCTTTAGGCATAAAATTAAAATACTCTTTGAACTCGTACTCACACAGACAAATGAATTTTATTATTTTGATAAATTATTATTTGATAAATGAATTATTTCAAACAACGATTAAGTAAAGTAAGTATTAGTCTACATACCGATGGAAAAGGTTCTATAAATGTTGCTACGTCATGAAAAGTGCCAAAAAGGCTTATGGGCGTCCATTCTGGTACGTACACGTGATACAACTACAATGCCCAGAATGAAAATGAACTCTTTTATTTTTCAATTTTTTTTTAATGTACGAGGTTCATTCAAATAATATGAAGACAATGTCACACTACGTCATATTATTTTTAAGAAGTTTAATTAAGACCAACACATTATGTATATGTAAAAATACTTTTTATTTTCTCCCTTTGTGTAGTTCCATTCATTTTGATCAAATGGAACTCATTTTACTAAAAAATCAACATGTTATCAGGAACACTCTGATAAACGCCCCTCAACATTTCACACAGTCTGTGGCGCCAATCTCAACCATTAAAAAATATTTCTATACCATTTGAAAATTAGTCTGTTAACAATTGTTCGAGTAGTACATGTATAAGTTTCTTCATCAGTGTTTACAATTTTTTTTACCGCGTAACTCTGATAACACCAACTTGCCATACTAATTCTTTGACTTGAGTTTACTGATAATCAGTTTCCTCGCAGGCCATCCATCATACGACACATAGTCTACCACTCAAAAAAAAATTAAATAAAAAAATCTGACGTCTTTTTTCCCTATGAGGAATACCTCTTCTGAAATTGATTTCCCTTCAATGAAGCAATATATCAAATCACAATTTGGCATATGAAATGACGTTAAAAAACGTACAACACAGTGGGAGAGATAACTCTTGCAATTTCAATTAAACGTTTAACGTGACGTCAAATTTGACGTTAATAATAAAGCGATCCTGGTGTAAAAAAAAATTATAAAAGAATTTTTTTGTTCTTTTGTTTATAAAAGAGAAAACAAAAAAACTATCAAGCAAGCAAAAAAAATAAAAAATAAAAAAATAAAAAATAAATTAAATACAATTCGATTATCGATACCGTTCTCAGAAGCTCACTCATCAAAGAAAAACAACTCTAAAAATATGGGAGATGTTGTTTTCCCTCCCTTCAGTTGAATTATTCCTCCTGTTTTCCGAACAATTATTATTTTTTCACGATCGAATATAAAGATACATTAAGTCAAACCTGATGAACTGGAGAACTGAAAACTATTAAAATATATACAAAGTAAGTATCGAAAGTGAAAAAGAATTGTTTACTGACATTATCTGAATTCATGATTATCTCATTGCAGCCAACTGTCCGACCTTCTGTCAATATCAACAATGTCGGTTCGCATTTCCTTGAATCAATACAAAACGTTTCATGAATAACTTTAAAATAGATAAAGAATTTAAAGTTTGATACATTAAAGTTAATATTGACGAATACGAAATTTCCATTTTATATTTAGGAGCAACGAATAATGCATCCAATATCAGGGGAAAACCCCCACACGCTCTCTTGTTTGGAATAATTAAGAAACTATATTCCATTTACATCACATGAGAGTTGAACATACACCTTTAATTAAAAAAAAAAATAGAATTCAATAAACAACATTGAAATTCAATGAAAGTTGAATTCATATCTAGGAGCGAAATTGAATGCATATATGTGTGGACATATGGGACACGTGCCGACGTGGACATAAAATTCTTAAGTAGGTTTTACTAAATACAAAACGTACTAGTAGTCAATATTTAATCTGCATACATGAATTAGCGAATTAGTACTTCAGTTTGGAGGGGGGGGGGGCACTACCAAAGATTCAGAATTTCCTTGACAAGCAAAAATAAAATAGGTCATCAGATATTATTATTGAGGGGACACAACTGACAAGCATAAAGTGGCTATTCCATATATCGGCAAAATTATTGGGGGCACCCCCCCCCTTTTTGTAATCGGTTTTAAGTTTTGACACAATTCTGTGCATTTATGCTAACAATGTATTCAATAAAATTCAAAATAAAAAAAAAATGTGGGAAAAGCGTTTTGCAAATTGTACAAAACAACTACATTCTGTACAAAGGATTTAAAGAACTATCAATAAGTATGCGATGCGAGAAGATTTAGATTGAAACATCTGGCAACTATTTATATGTTGTTAGAATGCATTAGGATTGTGCATAACAATCGGGAGATGCACTATATGCTAGATGAATTGACTATTACTTTTTTTAGCATGAGTCTTAAATTCAATATATTATAGATTGCAACTGATATTTTAAATTGAACGATAATTATGGCATTTTTCTTTTGTAAATAAAGTAAATAATTTCATATATCACCAAACTTAACTATTCTCATTTTTTTTCAGAGAGCAATTAAGAACAGAAAAGATTACTATGGTACTTTGTATTTCGGTTCTTTATAGCTTTCACGAACCTGCATATAAGAGGGAAACAAGACAATGTTTTGTAATTACATTTCTGTGAAGTCAAAGTTCGCTAATGAATTTTACAATTCATAGAAAAGGAGTCCGAAGTTTTTATCGTAAAAAAAATATTCCACCCTCAACTAAAAAAAACCCCAACCAAGATGGCAACGCGTTTTGGGGGAGACCCATGCACTATATAAAAAATATGTGCAGGTTTAGCCCAGGAATTTTGTCTTTAAAATGATCTGTTTGAGTGTTCTTTATAAAAGAGGTTGTGATCGCTCCCCCCCCCCCACACACACACACTTTCGGGCGGAATTAGACATTGTGGTAATTTTTGAAAGGATAATGTACCGTGATAATTCAATGAGCTTAAAATAACTTTCACTCTTCACATACAAATATTGGGGCACGGTGGCATGTCCACCCACTGAGAGTTTTGCCAAATTCATGCCATACGTGTTTAAAACATCGATTAGCAGCAAACTCCCTCCTCTTCCCTACAGGAAAAGGATCTGACAAAGTTGCTTTTTTGAGATGGAAACTGGACTACCTGCTAGAATTCCTTCTCTTTTTTTTTTTAATTTATGGTTCAACCCTCCCCCAAATTGATCATTGCGTCTTTCAAAATCACTCTACGGTACGTTCTTATATTAAACAACAGACAAATGTACAAATGTGCAAGTTCTTTCCGCAAGCACGAAGCATACTGCATAATTGATATACACATCTTGAATGCGTCCTAAAATACCGTTAAAGAAAGTTTCAAGTCGTTAGCTTTAAATATTTGCATAACAAAGGAAAGAGAAAAAAGTCTTCATTTTTCCCCCATTGCTAGCACATTTATATTTCCAACAAGATATGACAAGATAGGCTCAGACCCCTTTTTGGCCAGTTTGGGATGTCTCTTAGAACGATGCAGTTACATGTATTCACAATCAGAAACCTGTTGTAAAATGCAGAGGTCACAGAAAGGTAAAAAAAAAAAAACTGTCAATTTCCGAATTTTCTCATTTTTATTCAAAT